GGGAAAGAGCATTCCAGTGCGAGGAACACCAAGTACGAAGTCCTTGAGACAGGAAAGAGCTTATGTGAGGGACTGAAACACCACTGGGACCAAACCAAACTGAATGAGGTTGAAGAGATAAGCAGGGGCCAGGTCATGTAGGGCTTTGTAGGCCATGGTAATGAGGATGGATTTTATTCCAGGTGCACACAGGAACCTACTGGAGAGTTTTAAGCATGTGATTCATTTATGATTACATTTCCAGATGTTTACTCTGGCTGATGTGTTAAACTGCTATGGGCACTGTATGCTAACCAGGGGCAGGAGTGAAGGCAGAGTGGCAGAGAGGCTGTTGCAGTTGTCTAAGGGAGAAGTAAAAGTGGTTTGGACTTATGTTTTAGCAGAGGAGATGGTGAAAAAGGGTCATATTCAGTAAGATTCAGGTGTCAGAGCCTGAAGGACTTGCTGATGGATTGGATGCAGATGGAAGGGGAAAAAAAGGAATCAGGGATAACTCACATTTTTGGTCCGAGCAACAAGGTAAAAAGGAAGGCTAGTGAGAGAAAGGTTTGAGAGGGAAAATCGGGAGTTGTGTTTTAGACTTGTTAAGTTACAGGTGCCTATTAGATATCTGAGTAGGTAGTTGAATATATAGAACTAAGCTAAGGGGAGAGGTCAAAGGTAGAAATAAAGATGTGTGAGTCAGCAGCATTTCATTAGAAAAAAGGAGCACAGAGGAAAAAAATTAAAAAGAACCCAAGAAGGCTGGTAGAAAAGAAGGAGCTGCCAGTGAAAGAAGAGGAAAACCAAGAGACTGTTTCATAAAGAATGGAAGTGGTCAGCTGTGAAGGTCATCAGTAACCTTGATGAGAGCCGTGTCAGTGGAATGGTGGGAATGAAAGCTGAATTGGAGGAGGTTGAGAAGAGAATGGTGGAAAGGATAAGTATACACAACTCTTTGAAGACTGTTAAAGGAAACAAATGAGGCAATAGCTGGAGGGTGATGTGGGGTTAAGAGTCTTAGGCTAAGGGCTGTGCTACAACCTCCATCTCACCAGGTTAACACAAAGGTTATTTATCACTTGCATCACAGTCCAATGTGAGTTGAGTGACTTTCTTCCAGAAGTTATCCAGAAACCTAGATGCCTTCTATCTTGTAGCACCAACATGTGGATTTTAAAGTCATCTTGGAACGAGGGTAGAGAATCACGAATGGGAGATTTTTATGTGCCAGACCTGAAAGTGGAATACATTCCTTTGGTCACAGTCTATTTTCCATATGGTCTCCACAAGGGGGCTGAGGAATATAATTTGAGAAATGGAATTTAAATATGTGCCGTGGAAGTAGAGAAGAAATTGGATATGAGTAATCACTAGCAGTCTCTGGCACTGCAGTTTTGTTTTGTTTATAGAGGGTCAGATTAAGGCATGTTTGTAAAAGATAAGACTGACTCACTAGTGAAGGAGAAATTGGTGATGATTGAGAGGAAGGGAGTAATGAGTAAGGGAGAAAGAATGAAATCTAAAGCACAGGTTATAGGATTGGCCATAGATTGGAATGGGGACACTTCCTCTGTGGTAACAAGAAGGAAAGTAGAACCTAGTAGACCTGATGGTATAGAGATGAAGTAGTCAGTCAAATTGCATTTTTTTTTTTTTTTAGTGAAGTATGAGGTATGAGGTTATGTTC